CGGCGCTGGCTCTAAGGGCAGGCGCAGAGACCGCTACGGGCCGTTACGTGAGGGAGGGGCCTCTACGGGCCGTGAAGGGGCCGCTACGGGCCGCAAAGGGGCCTCTACGGGCCGTGAAAGGGGGCCAGTACGGGCCGCGAAGGGGCCTCAAAGGGCAGGCGCGACGCGCGCGTCGGGCAGGTAGGATTTTTTTTTTTTTTTTTTTTAGTGGTGGGACCTTAGGAAAAAAAAATCGAACTAGCTCTATACCATGTGAAAGAATTGAGGAATGAATGACTAGGAAATGACTTGGGTACAAATAGGAAACCCTAACAAACTGTACCCCATAGTGTCTACCCCACTAAGCCTAAACAGGCTATGTGATTAATGTTTGACATAGTTTCGAGACACTTCGTGGTTGGGGATAGTATGGCACTATTCCACATCACTGTACCTCGGCTCTTGGGGTTTGTAGGAGCTGGGAGTCATTCCCAACTCGTAACTATTTCTAATTTGTGTTCTAAGACTATAGTGGCTGCCATAGTGCTGTTCGTTCAAACCGATGTTGCGTCGTAAATGCTTAATGAAATCATGCGAACTAAATTGCCTAGTGTAGGCGACGTCAAGACGCTCCAGATCCAATTTGAATCAAGTCATTTGGAGCTGTGACCTGAACGCTATCAACGTTTGAAGCCGCTGTGCAGAAATCCGACAGTGCACTCTATCTTTCGTTTTAGGCACATTCAAGCCTATTGTGACTATAACAAGTGGTATCAGAGCCCCTTGGAGCAGTTTCGACAATGGCTGGACCTGAGGAAAGGGGTGGCAGAGGTGCTGGAGGCAGTGGAGAAGCCCAAGCTCAAGGCCAACCCCGTGATTCAGCCATGGCGCCCATACAACCAAGTCTTGGCCCACCTAGGGATGAGCCTAGGGTGTTTGGGCTTGACAAGTTCAACGGTGACAACTTCGCTGAATGGTCCTTCAAGATGGAGAACATATTTGACCACTATGACCTGCTGGAGGTGATGGAAGGAACGGAGAAGCGCCCCGAGAACGACCCGGAGAAGAGCCCGTGGGTGCGGAAGAGCGCACAATGTTATCTCCTGCTTGGGCAAGCGTTGGGGAGCAGCCAGGTCCGTCACATCAAACTATTCCAGCGTGAACCAGAGAAGGGACCAAAGGCATGGGCTGTTCTCAAGGGTGTACACGCTCCTGCAACAGCGGCGGTAGCGGTGGTGTTGGAACGGCAAATGGCGGCACTACGAATTGAAGAAGACGAAGCGGTTGAAGAAGGGGTGCAGAAATTCTTCGACTTGTTGACGCAGCTTGAGGGAGCTGATTTGAACTACAGTGAGCTCCAAAAGAAGACCAAGTTGCTGGCCTTACTCCCAGAGTCATGGTCCTCGCTCATCATCAACCTCAATCGTGACTTGCCCCGCCTCTCGCTTGAAGATGTGAAGCGAGCGATCCTTCAAGAGGACTTCCGCCGCCGTGAGTTGGCGAGTGCGGATGGCGCCGTAGCAGCAAGCATCGGGCGAGGGTATGGCCGTGGAAGGGGCAAAGGACGAGGGGGAGGCAGATTTGGCAGCAACAACTTCAATGGAGGCCGGGGGAGTGGCGGATACGGTTGCGACAACAAGATCCACGGACGCGGTCGCGGCCGATTCGACGTCGTGGTCTTGGCCCACCGACGTATGAGCCTAAGCACTCGACCCATTTCGTGGAGGTAAGAGTGTGGCAAGGCCATTGCTAGACACTTTTCTTGTCCATTCTGATTCTAAGTCTTTCTTTTTACACTGTGCAGCCCCACGTGAATCAAACACCTTGCTTTGGGCGTAAAAAGGTTAATAGATTTGTAACCTCCAGCTAGAGTATTTGTATGTCTTCGTGTTTTCCCTTATTGTGTTTCTTGGCAGTCCTTGCTCTGGGGCTGGGAGTTTTCCAAGACAGTGTGGGGCAACACATACCTTGCCCTTCCGCCAGAGATCATGCACATGGTCGAGCAAGGCTTCTGGCTTCATTCCATGAAGTGCCTGCTAAAGAAGTTGAAGCCAAAGGAGAGGGCGATTCTACTCGAGTGAGTAAACCCGTGAAGCAAACTGCGTTTTACTAACGCATAAATCTATCAAGAGATGTTCGTATTTCGTGTAATGTCCTGGGCTTTGCATGAGTCTTGAGCTTTCGCCCCCACACCAAATTCTCCACCTCCCTATCCCGAGGGATGTCAAATTGATTTTCCCACCGACCCAATCCTTGTAACGATTATACTCAGGCGCTTCAAGGCTGTGAAGGACGTCACACCTGCGTCTCTTCTACGGCTGCCGTCAGTTTGGGTGTACCTCAACACCGTGGCCTGCTTCTCCGCTTCGGAGCATTGCGCCGTGATGCAGGTTTTGCCCCTCGTTATCCACCTGCCTAAGCGTGACACCATCGCTACGGCCATCACGCTGATGGCAGAGTGGTACAAGGAGTATATCCGCGCGGAGTACCACGCCGATGAGACCTTGGAGCGTATGATGTCTGCCTCCCACGTGTAAGGTCGCATTTCTACATGTACCTATGGATTCTGTCAGAGGTCCACTGGTGATCCCCGATTGATCCTATGGAAGGGTTACAGGCATGTTGGCCTGGGGGGTTATGGGCGCACTGACCCGCTACTTAACAAGCCCTTTTATCCCAATGGTCTAGTGGTTGGGATTCTGACATGGTATCAGAGCGAAGGTCTCGGGTTCGAATCCCAGTGTGCGCACTTCGGGCATCCCAGTGCGGGGGGGTGTCAGAGGTCCACTGGTGATCCCCGATTGATCCTAGGGAAGGGTTACAGGCATGTTGACCTGGGGGGTTATGGGCGCACTGACCCGCTACTTAACAAGCCCTTTTATCCCAATGGTCTAGTGGTTGGGATTCTGACAGATTCCACCTCGTTTCCTAGTCTTATGCCCCGTTACCAATTTCCCGTGCATCACTCGTAACCTCCTAAGCCATGTATTCCTTTCCCAATCGCATCAGCATGGTCGACGCTCTTGCGGAGGCGTTCGACAACCAGAAGTCGAAGTGGCAGATTGTGAAAATTCACCTCCTGTCGCACCTCCCTGCCACCATCCGTGCTCGTGGCCTGCCCCGAGAGTACTCAGCAAATCTGTATGAGCACTCGCACAAGACCACCGTCAAGCGTCCTTCGCGCGGCAGCAACTGGAAAGGTGTGGCTGACCGCATTGTGAAGAAACACTTGGAACAAGCAGTCATCCGCCAGCTGTCCCGGGAGGTTGGAGGGGATACTACGTACGAGATAGCAATGAAAGAGGTCATGGACTCCCCCATTATCAGCGCTCACACTTTCATTGACATCTCCCCCATCCGGTGTCCCCTTTTAATCTCTGGCTTACTGTCTAGGTCATGCGCCAGCCATGCTTGCTCAAGCTCCATGTTTGGGCCATGAGCACAAGACCCGGAATTGTCCAACTCTGAATCGTTTACCATTTCCATACGTCTGACCCCATATCCACAACTCGCTATCACATGTGCTTTATTCCGCTCCCTATCACGCAGCCACAAATGTGGCAAAAGCCAGGAAGCAGGGCACCTATTCCTGAGCGCAGCATCGTGGACTGGCAGTTGCCCTCGGTCACATCTCACCTCTACCGCATTTTCCCTCTTTGCTGACCCCCGTTTTCCCCATAAACCAAAATATTACTCCTTCCCTAAAACCCGAAGCCCCTCCATGTCTTTGTCTGTGTTACCAACCCATTAGGCATGCGTTTAGGGTCGGCGGGTCTTGACTCAGACCCACAAGTGGATGGTCGTGGGAGACTGCACCGACACTGTCTTCAGGAGCTACATCCTCGCCCATGACGATCGTGCAATGAAGGCACTGCCGCATCACCTCAACTTGGCGGGGGTGGCAAAAAAGAGCCTTCAAGTGCGTTGGAGCACAGTGGAACTCTAAACACACTCATGCCATGAAGCTTATTTCATTGTGATGTCATTGCATGCCACAAGCGTGCCTTGGTAGTAGGTGCAGAAAAAATGTTTGCCCCAATCAATATGTGTGTTGCAGATTTTTTATTGTAGGCCCTGAAAGAACCGTCACTCGGTTTGCATGTCTTCAGGTCCACACCGCGCTTGCCATCCCGCCACACGATCGAATGGAATGGACGGCCAAGGGGCAGTTTGTCAAAGCCAGTCCGACGGATAAACATTTTTCAGATGTCGCCATCAACCAGGCAGGAAAGGGGGAGAATTGGTATGCCCGCTGTCTCATCCTCTTGCACTACAAAGAGGATGGAGAGGTAAAGAGGGCAGCCTATGTCGAGTACTACACCGAAGACAAGCGTGCGTGCTCGACCACTGGTTGCAAGCGTCTTCTCCCAACCAAGGGAGAAGACAAGTATGCAATAATAGATGTGGACTGCATTCTTTGTATTGTGCACATCGTGCCTTATTGCACAGATGAGACTGTCAAACTGCTAAATAGGTTTATATGGTGATACTACTAGGTAATAAGCATTGACAGTAGCTCAGTAGGTTTATATGATGGTCAAGTAGGTGCTGAAAATGCACGGCACATTGGACTAGCTCTTTGAAGTAGATCGAGGTATTATAGTTGTAAGTCAAACATTGTAACCGTGACAATGGTGCTGGTCTTGAAAACATTTCCAAAACATTCTCAAAACATTCGACGGCTATCAAACTCTATACGAATGATTTTACAATGATCTCAAAATGGTTTCCATATGGTCCCCCCGGCCCTTGAGCAACAAATGCTTTTCAAATGTACACATTTTTGTGATGCAGGAGATTAAGGCTTTTGCCAGCCCTCGTGTTGATACTACGCCCTCCAAGGCTTTTAGCAGTAGAATTCTTGGCAACGCAGGTTCGGCCTTTCTTTGGCGGCGTGAGCCAAAGCAACCGTGACAGCAGCTTTCACCCTCAGAAGTGACTCCATCGTGTCTCCCTCTCAACGAGCTCTTCACCCTCACCACTCTTCCACTAGAGTCGTTGCTCAGCTTCGCACGTCGTGCATGCCTTCTTTCCGTCTGGAGAGTCATGGGCGACCAGCGCAGCTTCTCCTTCCCTCCGCCACTGCTGCACCTCCGCCTACCGCTGCTGCTGCTGGCGGGGTTGCTTCTGCTGCCGCTACTCGCATCAACGACGCCCAAGGTCGCCCTCTCCTCCTCCTACCTGCACCTCCTCGCCTTCCACTCTACCCCACTCGCTCTACCCGACGCTCCCTCCTCTCTTTCCCCAACTCACCCCATCCACAGTCCCCTCCCTCGCCGTTAATTGGCCTCCCCTCCCTCCAGTTCCATCCCTCTCCCTCGTTCTTCCACTCTACAACCTTCAACGCTGCTCTTCCTCCTGTCTTCTCTTCCTCCTCCCTGTCATGCCCCAGAGAGCACAGTCCCAACCTTGACCAACGTATACCAATCCACTTCAAGCCCTCATTGCTATGCGCCCCCGCTGCTATTCCAACTTTCCACCCACACCCCAAATGAACATGCACGTTCAGCCCAATCGAACCCCCTCCCCTTCCCCCCCCATACCTTCCCCCTTCCCTCCCTCCCCCATCCCTTCCCACCCTTATCCCTTTATCCCCCTCCCTTCTCCCTCCCCCCCCCTGCCTCGCCCCTGCCTTGCCCTTGTTTCTCCGTCGCCTCCGCCCTCCGTCCCTCCTGTCTCCCCCCTGCCTCCTCCCTGCCTCGCCTCTCCTTTCCTCCTCCCTGCCTCGCCTCTCCCTCCCTTTTGCCTCGCCCATTATACCCCTTTTTCTCCTCTTCCCTGCCTCGCCCCTCCTCCCCCCTGCCCCGCCCCTCCCTCTCCCCTCATCCTGCCTGCCTCGCAGCTCCCTTCCCCTTCCCTACCCACTGCCTCCCCCGTGGCCCCCCTTGCCTCCTCCCTGCCTACCTCCTCTCCCCCCCTCCCTTCCCACTCATTCCCCCCTGTCTTCCCCCTGCCTCCCCGCTGTCTCCCCCCTGGCCCCCCTTGCTTTCCCCCTCCAAACCATTCCCTCCCCCCTCCTTTCCACCTCCCTCACCCCTGTCTCCTCCCTGCCTCCCTCCTCCCTACCCGCCCCCCCCTCGCTCCCCCCTGTCTCCCCCTGCCTCCGTCATCCCTCCCACGCCCTCCCCTCTCCCTTCTCCCTCCCTCCCCCCTCACTCCTTCCCGCCTCCCTGCTGTATCCCACCTGCCTTCCCCCTGCCTCCCCACTGCGTCGCACACCGTCCCCTGGCAGTGTGGGTGCTGGCGGAGTGCGCTGCAGCATGGAACTTGTCGCTGAGTGGGTGGCGGGTGGGGGGCAAGTGTGACACGGCGCATTTCATTACCTGCGACGCCAACGGGCTCATCACTTCCATGTGCGTGCCCGGTGTGGGAAGGAGGGGACACGGGGAAAAGGGAGGGAGGGAGGGAGAGAGGGAGGGAGGGAGGGAGGGAGGGAGGGAGGGAGGGAGGGAGGGAGGGAGGGAGCGAGCGAGCGAGCGAGGGAGGGCGGGAGGGTGGGAGGGAATGAGGGAGGGGGGGAGGGAGGGAGGGAGGGAGGGAGGGAGGGAGGGAGGGAGGGAGGGAGGGAGGGAGGGAGGGCGGGAGGGCGAGAGGGAGGGAGGGCGAGAGGGAGGGAGGGCGAGAGGGAGGGAGGGAGGGAGGGAGGGAGGGAGGGAGGGAGGGAGGGAGGGAGGGAGCGAGGGAGGGAGGGAGGGCGAGAGGGAGGGAGGGAGGGAGGGAGGGAGGGAGGGAGGGTGAGAGGGAGGGAGGGAGGGAGGGCGAGAGGGAGGGAGGGAGGGAGGGGACAAGCGAGTGAGTGTGGATGGAGGGGTAGTTAGAGAGGTGCGGATCAGTGGTAACCACGTGGATGTCCTCATGAGAGAGCGAGAGGGATAGATATGTGATATGTCCGCACATTCGAGAGGTGGTTACGACATCACGCGTCCTCATGTGAGTTTTGAAAAATTGCAAAAACCCCATTCCGTGGAGACCATAACTTCCTCTTGTCATGCTATTTTGAGACGTCGGAATAACTTGATTTTCATCATGCCAAGCCATGCCATGCCGTGCCATTCACCTCGTCCCACCTTACGAATCCAGCTACCTGAACGACAACAAGCTTGAGGGGTCCATTCCAACCACCATTGCTCTGCTGCAGAAGCTCTCGTGGCTGTACCAAAGAAACCCCAGCTGCCCAATTTTTTGCTTCGATATTGCCATACACATGCAACGTTGGAGGCGGTTGCTGAAATATTTGAAATAGCCTCTTTTGCCTTGCTTCTGTCATGTCTCTTTTTGCACGTGTATCAGTGTGAGCCACTCTAACTCTCCATACAACTTACCCCGACACATACAACTTCCCGTCTCTCAGTTCTGAGCCCTTCATCTTCTGAACCCTGTTCGGCCTTCTTTCTGTTCCTCCTCGCCCAGTGCGCTATCCAACAACAAACTAACAGGAGTCATACCCTCTTTTACAGGCACCTTGATGGACCTCCATGCCATATGTGTAAGCTACTGAAGAGCCTCTACAGGCTGAAGCAGTCGCCGTTGCTGTGGTACAGGGCACTCGACGGTGTGCTGCTGGGCGCTGGCTGGAAAAAGAGCTAGGTCGACGAGGCGCTCTACTTCAAGGCCGACGACAACGGAGTGAACTGCTGGGTGCTGGTCTACGTCGACGACCTTCTTGCCGCCAGCAGCAGCCCCGCGATGCTGAAGGAGCTAAAGGAGCTGCTAGAGGCTCCTTTCGCGCTGCGCGAGATTTCGCCGGTCGTCAAGTACCTTGGGCTGGAGATTGTGCGCGACAGGCCAGCGAGGAAGTTGTGGCTTCACCATCAGGGCTACGCTGACAAGCTGCGCAGGCGCTTCATCGACGAGGAGCAAGGCGGTCGAGTCCCGAAGACACCGGTCTCGGTCGATGCCTACGCCGAGCTGACATTCGACGACGAGGAGGCGCAGGAGCGCGAGGAGGAGGAGTACCAGCAGAAGGTTGGCTCGTTGCAGTTCGCAGCGACGACGACGAGGCCGGACATCGCGTTCGCATGCAGCAAGCTGGGGAGTGGCCTCATAGTGAGGAGCGACCAGCATTGGCACGAGGTCGACCGCTGCCTCGCCTACCTCGCTGACACCAGCGACACCGCCCTGGAGTTCGGCGGTGGACCAAAGTCGCTGGAGCTGATCGGCTACGTGGACGCCGACGACACGGGCGACAAGCAGAACCGGACGAGCACAAGCGGCTACGTGTTCGTCTACGGAGGGGCCGCCGTCTCCTGGTCGAGCTCGCGCATCCTGAATGCGATTCCAAAACGTTCCGAGAGGATTTGCCCGGAAGTACAGGGAATCTCATCTTCCCGCGGTGTCAGCACCGCCTGGCGGTGAATACCAGACAAATTCGCCCCGCGTTATTCACTTTGAGGGCTGTTTGGTTGGCGCGTCTGGTCAGATCATTGGCTAGTTTTGTTGCATCATAGGGGTTGACCAATCAGAATGTTGCAACACAGCAATGCTGGCAAGCTAAGATGCGAGGGTTCTATCCCGTTGCTTGCACCTGTAGTGTGTTTTGTCTATGTCGTGTTGGCAAGCACTGATGCTCCCATGATGGGTTGCATCCACGCCGCCAAGCCGTGCTACCAGCCATCCAGGCTCCCATTCTGCTCCATCCTTTCCATCCGCATGGGGTTTCCTCACGTTCCTGCCTTGTGTACCAAGAGGTAGTCAGCCGTGTCGAGGGTTATGCCCTGGCAATCCTCTTTCTAGTTTGACTCGTTTAGTAGCGCTGTAAGCTATGCCGGACCCCCAGGACGACATGGAAATTAATGGCGACCAAGGCGATGATGCGCATCGTCGTCCGCCAGTTGATGTTTCCGCTGCTGTTACCAATCTAGATCTGATTTTCTCTAGCCTAGCGCAAGTCGACAACCTTGGAGAGGCACCTGCAAGTGCGCCGCCCGAGTTTTGTCCGTTCGAACCCATTGATAATGAGGGGTTGTGTGCATCCCCTACAGCGCTAGTGATTGAGCAAGACAGCTCCTCGCCTTCTATTGAAAAAACACTGGCAGTACCCGTGGCAAAGAAAAACGCCAGATACACACAGTCAACGCTGCCATGGTGCTCCAAGGGCGGTAATGATGGAGCTAATCCCCCTTCACCAGCCGACCAACGGTCGTCGCCCGTGATCGCAGGCACGCAGGTGTCACCTTCCGTTCCCGGGCTTTCTAAACCGGCAGGCCCTGACGCGATCTACGCCAAGGCTCTTCATAATTACAAAAGCGAGTGGCTGGAGAGGTTTTCGTGGCTTGTTTTGCTAAAAACTACTGAGGCTCTCCCTGCTTTCAAGTGCACTATCTATACGGAGCACGTTGCACTATCTATACGGAGCACGCAAGATACGCTGGACCGTGTGGGAGAGGCGGTAAGGGCACCACAGACGTGCAGACACAGGCGTTCAAAAGGCATGCAGCAACAACCAATCACAAGGAGGCGATCAAGAGTAACGAGAAGCTACTATCGGAAACATCCAAGCAACCGCGAATTCACGGCGACAATCTTGCTCGCGACATCAAGAAGGAACGTGTCATCAAGTTGCTCGACTCCCTCCTCTTTGTCACCAAGCAAAATGCACCCATAGAGTTATGGGTGAATCTTGTTCGCTACCTCGCTGCGCTGAAGGTTCCTAGGTTCCCCTCGAAAGGATATGGAACCTATTACACTACGTGAGTAACAGTATCCCAAACATCTAAGATGTGATTGTGTTTCGGGACTACAAATCTCTGACTTTTTCTGTGTGTGTGTGTGTGTGTGTGTGTGTGTGCGTGTGTGCGTGCGTGTGTCTGTATGTATCTGTGTGTGTTTGTGTATGTTTGTATGTGTTTATGTGTGTCTGTGTGTGTCTGTGTGTGTGTGTGTGTGTGTGTGTGTGTTGCACAGATATGACTTCGGGCAACTAATCCAGTCGATGGCCACGTGGTTGCACACAATGCAACTGCAGCACATCCTATCAAGCCCGTACCTCGGCCTTACATGTGAAAAGAGCACCGACAGGTGTCGAGGAAAGCACATGATTCCTTTTGCCACTTTCATCCGTGAGAACCGTATCGTCACTGAGTTCCTTTCCCTGCTAACTGTGGAGAAGGCCGATTCCGCCTCTCTCCTCTTAGTGTTCCCGTCCCACCTGCAGGCCCTCGGCATTCATCTTGCCAGGATCGCCGGCATAAGCACTGACGGCGCGAGTGTGATGATGGGTAAACCAAACGGTCTTGTCGCTCGACTCCGACTCCGCATACCACATCTCGTCTCAAGCCACTGCATCGCCCACAGGTACGTCCTCGGTTGTGTTTGCGCTTCTCTGGTGTACCTATCGCAGCCCATGCTAATGCACTGTTTTGCTTCGGTTTGTGTTTTGTTGTGAACTCAGGGAGGCGCTCGCAGCAAAAGATGCAGCTGAAGCACTCCTCAAGTTTGAGATGGTGGACTCGCTGCTCAGCCAGGTGGCTGAGCATCTGGGGCGTTCTGGCCCTTGGCACCAACTGTTCATGTCGCTTCAGGAAGTGTTCACAGCCACGAACCTGGAGCTCCAAGGGATTCACCAAGTCCGTTGGCTCTCCAGGGGTGACGCCATTCTGCAAGCATTAGAGGTCTTCCCCGCGCTCATCGTCATGCTGTATGAGTGGGACAGTAGTTGTTATGTGATGCTATCATTTGCATTCACGTCTGTCTGCCTCCCATCATATGTTCGTGTGTTGCATGCGTGGTGTGAGCGTGTGCAAGAATTTGTGTTTGGTGTTGTTTGGATTTTCTGAGTGTGTGTGAATGTTATTTGGCTTGAGCAGATATCTGAAGTGACTCCTCTGCTCAAGAGCTTCCCGACGAGCCGAGAATCGCTGCGATCGAAGCAAGAACGAGAAAGATATGATCGTTCGAAGTTTTGATTATGATGCGGCGACTATAGGAATTTGCGGGTTGACTCAATATGGGGTACAGACTTTTGGGGGTTGGGAAATTCGTCACCATCACTGTAGATGATGCAAAGTGGTTGGGAGAAGCCAAGCCAGGTTGGCAAGTGTGGCCAAGTTGGGTGAGGTGGATGGCATGAGTTGGGAAAGTGACAAATGTCAAAGTTGGGGTGCCTATAGAGAGGGGAATTGTGTGGTATGGGGTTTCCTTGGTTGGGGACTCCCTTGGGACCTTCCCTCTCGTCCTCCTCATCCCCTCCTACCTGGTTCAAGTACTACTCCAACTTTCTTGTGTGAACTTGTGAGATCATTGTTATTGAGTTACATTTTCTATGGCAGCATACCCCCTAGTGCGCCGAAGTTCATAACTCGAGTTA